AAAAAAAATTTTTTTTGGGGGGGGGGATTTCAACCCGAGTAAACGTCAGTTGCATGATAACGTGCTAGTGGAGTCTCATTTCATACATCTGTTTCCACGTTTCCCACTCCTCCCTACCTCTCCTCGATTACCTTTGACCTTTTTACATAAAAAGGAGGCCAGGAGAGGACGGAGGAGAAGGACGCGAGGAGTCGAGCAAAATCCCAATTGAGAACCACCCTTAGTCCAACACAGAACTCACCCACACACAGAGTCAATGATGCTCCAGTGTTTTGTGTCATCACAGGGAGAAGTCAAAAGGGCCTTGCAGTAAAAAGGTAACATTATTGTATTATGGTACAGCGTTGGTTCGGTGTGTGTGTGTGTGTGTGTGTGTGTGTGTTGTGTGTGTGTGTGTGTGTGTGTGTGTGTGTGTACACACACCTTGTTGGACAGTTCCGTAGAGAGGTTGATGACACTTTAGAGAAAGACCCCTATGAGCTCCATTAGTGCAGCAGCTGCAGCCTCACACGACCTTTGACCTTTAGGCTGCTGGTGTTGGCCTCTCACTGACACAGCAGCTAGTGGTAGTGGGATGACACGTCTGAGTGACTGAGTGAGTGTGAGTGTGTATGTGTGTGTGTGTGAGTGTGTGTGTGTGTGTGTGTGTGAGAGAGTGTGTGAGAGAGTGTGTGTGTGAGTGTGTGTGTGTTTGTGTGTCTGAGTGAGTGAGTGTGTTAGAGTGTGTGTGTGTGAGAGTGTGTGTGTGTGTGTGTGTGTGTCTGAGTGAGTGAGTGTGAGTGTGTGTGAGTGTGTGTGTCTGAGTGAGTGAGTGTGTTTGAGTGTGTGTGTGAGTGTGAGTGTGTGTGTGTGTGTGTGTGTGTGTGAGTGAGTGAGTGAGTGTGTGTGAGTGTGTGAGTGAGTGAGTATGTGTGTGTGTGTGTGAGAGTGTGTGAGTGAGTGAGTGAGTGAGTGAGTGTAGATGTACGTCTCAATATTATTTTATATATAGTAGACCTAGCTTTTCCAATGAGGACGATATAGATGTGTGTTTATAGTAGTATATAGTAGTATTTATAGTATTATATAGTAGTGTATATAGTAGTATTTATAGTAGTATATAGTAGTATTTATAGTAGTATATAGTAGTATTTATAGTAGTATATAGTAGTATTTATAGTAGTATATAGTAGTATTTATAGTAGTATATAGTAGTATTTATAGTAGTATATAGTAGTATATAGTAGTATATAGTAGTATTTATAGTAGTATTTATAGTAGTATATAGTAGTATTTATAGTAGTATATAGTAGTATTTATAGTAGTATTTATAGTAGTATTTATTGTAGTATATAGTAGTATTTATAATAGTATTTATAGTAGTATATAGTAGTATTTATAGTAGTATATAGTATTATTTATAGTAGTATTTATAGTAGTATATAGTAGTATTTATTGTAGTTATAGTAGTTTATGGGTGTTTGATCTAAAAAATGGACGTGAGAGTTGTGTGTTTCCCAAACAGCATCCTATTCCCCATTTAGTGCACACTACGGGCCCTGGTTGGTGCACTACCAGCAGGGCCCTGGTCAAAAGTAGTGCACTATATAGGGAATAGGGTGGTTTTTGGGACACAGATTCAGTTTTCAGAAGTCTGTCCTCCAACATGTTTCTGATTTAGCTTCTACAGAACGAGAACAACTGGAGATGTTCTCTTTGAAACTCTAAACACCAGTCCCCTGTGTGTGTGTGTGTGTGTGTGTGTGTGTGTGTGTGTCTGTGTGTGTGTGTGTGTGTGTCTGTGTGTGTCTGTGTGTGTGTGTGTGTGTCTGTGTGTGTCTGTGTGTGTGTGTGTGTGTGTGTGTATGTGTGAACCTCCACATATTTCTATTTTCTCCCAGCTCTCCCCCTCTCTTCTCCTAAACTCATAGAAACAGCCCGGGTCATTACAAGCCTATTCATTACCTTAATCATTACACATAGGAACTGCCCTCTGCTGCCTAACCCAGGGGACTCTGTGGTCCAGTGTTGTGTGTGTGTGTGTAATGACTGTTGTCTGCCCTCTGCTAAAGTGGTCCAACCTGAATTACCCTCTTCAAAGAAACCTCCACTTCCTAAAGGTTGCCCCCCCCCGGTGTGTGTGTGTGTGTGTGTGTGTGTGTGTTGTGTGTGTGTGTGTGTGTGTGGACCACCACAGAGGTGAGAGCTCTCTGAGCCTGCAGTGACAATTACTCATAATTACAGAGAGGGAGGGAGGGAGGGAGGGAGGGAGGGAGGGAGGGAGGGAGGGGGGGGGGAGGAGGAGACGAGAGAGAGGGAGAGAGAGAGAGGAGAGAGAGAGAGAGAGAGAGAGAGAGAGAGAGAGAGAGAGAGAGAGAGAGAGAGAGAGAATTAAAGAGAGGACAGTCTCCTTTGAGTTGTCATTAGTATTCAGGTGTTGGCTAATATTTACTAAACAGAGTTCTGCTACGGACGGACACACACACACACACACACACACACACACTAGTAGGGATATACAGTATGTGTGTAATGAAGGCTACACCATTATGGAGGGGAACATGAAAGATAGAGAATTCCAAAGTATTGTCATTAAAGAACGATGGGCTTTTTCAAATGATGAGGAAGGCTACAAACATATGGGTGTCGGGCAACATAATGACAATGTGTACTCTATTCTACAATGTAATTATCTGAGTCTGCAGCACTCCTTTACACAGGTCAAACAAAGATAAACATCCACCAGCTAGTTTAAAAAATAGTTTAGTAGTTAAACACCAGCTAGTTTAAAGCATTGTTTAGTAGTTAAACACCAGATAGTTTAAAGCATTGTTTAGTAGTTAAACACCAGATAATTTAAAGCATTGTTTAGTAGTTAAACACAAGCTAGTTTAAAGCATTGTTTAGTAGTTAAACACAAGCTAATTTAAAGCATTGTTTAGTAGTTAAACACCAGATAATTTAAAGCATTGTTTAGTAGTTAAACACCAGATAATTTAAAGCATTGTTTAGTAGTTAAACACCAGCTAGTTTAAAGCATTGTTTAGTAGTTAAACACCAGATAATTTAAAGCATTGTTTAGTAGTTAAACACCAGATAATTTAAAGCATTGTTTAGTAGTTAAACACCAGCTAGTTTAAAGCATTGTTTAGTAGTTAAACACCAGCTAGTTTAAAGCATTGTTTAGTAGTTAAACACCAGCTAAAAACAAAAGCAGTCAGGTAACCACTCCTAGCTAGTGTGATCTGCTTTCACACGGTCCGACCAGAAACAATCAAAACCAATTAACCTGATCAATGGAATCTCTAACCTCTAACCAACCACCGGACACACTGAAACACACACACACACACACACACTGAAACACACACACACACACCCTGAAACACACACATTACTCAGGCCGGGTCGGATATCAGAGGTGATGGAGGATAACCATACATCCAGCTAGAGGGGTAAACCTTTCCCATGTTAGATGAATTAGCCTGGGTTTGTACCGTGGGGTCTGTGTATTTGTGTGTGTGTGTGTGTGTGTGTGTTGTTAACGACACAAAATGGATTCAAGGTGATGAATCTGAAGCGGTTCTGATTGATTAGACCAGGGATGACATTTACTGGCTGTTTATATTTGTCCTATTTCACACATGCACTAGTGTGTATTAATAAAGCGTGTGTGAATTGGACATGTGTTTTTGTGCATATCCCAACTCCCCCTGAGGCACCCTGGGAGAGTGGGGTTATGGAAAGGGTCGTCCATTATCAAAGGCGACCCAGGAGCAATTAGGGTTAAGTGCTTTGCTCAAGGGCACATCGGCAGATCTTTCACCTAGTCAGCTCTGGGATTCAAACTAGCAACCTTTCAGTCTCTGACCCACCACTCTAACTGGTAGACTACCTGTCACCCAGAAGAGGACTAGAGGAGAGAGACTATGACAAAGAAAACGGACATATTTATACATCCCTTATTTGTGTGTGTGTGTGAGAGAGAGAGAGAGAGAGAGTCCGTAATTATTCAGAAATCCATGGGAAGACAGACCTATTTAATTCCAGTCATAGCCTGAGGACAAACTAAGCTGTGTTTCCACATTTCCTTTGGTCCTGGTTTAGATGGTAAAACTCTGTCTATCATTATTACAGACAGACAACGGTGGAAGACAGACGTTGATGTGTCTCAAACGCCACCCTGTCGCCTATATAGTACACTACAGGCTAAAGGCCCTGGTCTAAAGCAGTACACTACAGGCTAAAGGCCCTGGTCTAAAGCAGTACACTACAG